GCTGTAAAAAGAAAAAAAGTTTTAAAACAAGCAAATGTATATTGTGATAAGATTTTCACGATTTAAATGAAGATGAACCACTTTAATCGACTCTGGATATCGTTTAAAACCTGTAATCATTGACTTCGGTCGTCTTATTAACTTTAAACTTTACTAGACAATTCAAAAGAACAGTTATTCACTCCATGGATCTATGATATCAAGTTTTCCGGTTTGGCGTTATCACAGATAACAATTATTCAAAAGTGTAAGATAAACTTTCTGACTGGAATTGACTTATGACAGATAAAATCACAACGTAGAACCTCGCACATAGGTACACCAGTTCAAGTTGCCACACTTCAAAGTGATGTACAGATGTACTGATATCGAATTTAAAAAATTCAGGTGAGTCAAAGCATTCAAGCTTTAGAAGATGTTAGAAAGTGAATACATTTGCGTCTTTATGATCGATGTTCAGCCATGTGACCAAGAGACCTTAACCACTAATTCCTATGGTTTCGAGGACCCAAGCCAGGTAGTCAACACCTTCCTATACGACTCAGATCAACAGTCATAGACTTCATTCACTATATTACTGTATGATATTGGTTATTGCTTTATGAATCAATGGAGTAATAATCTAGAAATTACGGTATTCAATCATATTCACAAAATTACATTAGATCACATAGTCTTACCAAAATAATGACTATCACCATCAGAGCTGCTTGATTTGTTGATTAACAAATTTTCACTTGAAACTGATGAGGATTTCTCTGATAAGGTAATTTCACTAGGACTTCTAAGCAATTTTTCATTAAATGTATATTGAGTGAAATGTGTTAAACATTCATAAAAATGACTGAAGCCATATGACTTGATGGTTAATTGTGACCGTGAAAAGGCATCCTCCATAATATTCAGTAGATGATTCATTACATCATTATCATCGTTATTGTTGCTTCTGGCTTTGCTGTCATGGTCATTATTCAATGATGTCTGAAATGTAGAAAAAGAAATAATATCAAAAAGTGGGGGTATCGTTAGCGCTTAGTAAACACCGGTATCTCTATATGCGTATAATCTTTTCCATAATTTGTTTTCTTTTCACCTCTGTAAATTCGTTTCATATTTCATTAGATGAAGTGGAGTAATATGAGATGATGTACTACCTCATTCTTATTACATAATAAGGAATCTAAAATCATAATACGCCTACTTAAGTTGTCTCATTTTAAAAGCAAAACACCAAGAAAAGGTCGGAACAAGAAATCATGAACAAGTGCATTTATTTTCATATAAACAATAGTATTACTCATTACTTACTTGGTTATTGCTAGCATCATAATAAATATGCAGGCAATATCTAGGCATCTGCATAGGAGCCCATATGCCAACGGAGGCCAAACAATCCGATCCAGTATCACAACGGAGAAATAGTAATGACAAATACAAGAGGTGGTTGTCGTACCTCAGTGACCTAGTGGGTAACGCTTTGGCATTTGAAGCAATGGGTATGAGGTTCGAGTCCCAGTGAGAACAACATCACTCACTTGGAGGCAGTTACATCCAGCTGACGAGTCCCAAATAGGACGATATGTGCGTCCTGTATTGCACGGCTAGGCGCTATCCATCATTAGGATGTAACCCATCTTAGAAAACTCTTATCGTACATCGTTTATGCATTTATATACCTGGAAGAATAATGATCGACTTATTGAACTACAGTGTTTGAATCAATGATCTCAATATTACTGACTGAGCTACGAAACTTAACTCCTAAGTAGGTCTCTTTTGATTTTAATTGTGATACTTAGTTGGAATGCAGCCCTAGCAGTTTGACTAGTGGAGTACATGGCGAGTAGTTAAGAGATAGATGACTCAACTTAAACTGTTCCTCGCATTTTCTTTTGATCTCAACCATCATCCTTGTGTATCTACAAAAATAAATTCGCTAACCAAGGTTGTCTAAGAAAGTCAGATTAACAGAATGTGTTTGTAAGAAACAACATTTTTAGACCAAAATCATTCATTATGTTCTAGTATTCCGAACCATTTGAAAACTTCAGTGCCAAGGGAAGAGAGTATAGGTATCGTGTTGAATAGCAACATGCCACAGAATACACAACACTAGTTGTTTATTGAATGATTGATATTACATATTCGATGGTAACTAAGTCTGTAATTTGACCACTAATCTGACAAAAGCAACATCACAGTGCACAGTTTTGGATGACTATAAGGACCTGATATGAGGCAGCGCCTAAACTAAACTTTATGATTCCTAGAAGTCATCAAAATGACACACCACTACACTAACAGGAATTCCTTGTGGCTGATACACCCTAATAACAAGTAGGTATGAGAATAAAACTATTTTCAGAGGCTTTTTATCTACAGCCTTCAGAGGGAAACTACATGAATAAGAGTCAAATTTGAGTTGTGTTTCTTGGGAGTAATTAGAAAAGAGTGTTCAGTTGGTATTTCTCGATGTTGTAGAAAAAGATTACACTCATAGGCGTAAGGAAACAGTGAATCCATGTACAAGATTATAAATGTCAATAAAGCTTCGAGTTGTAGAGGCGGAAATATTCGCATTCTTTACCATCAGCTTAAGACAATGATTCAATAAATGGGCATCAAAAAGTATAATTCTATGTAAGATGTTTATTCGGTATAGCAAAGTGATATGACTAAGAGCAATAAATTCTGTTCGGAGAGTCATCCAGCAAATTATACTATGTCTCCGTGTGCTTTACCACATAAACAAGCTAATACGGAATTATACTCTACCACAGCACCCAAGTCTTCCACTTACATTAAGGGCATCAAAAGATTTACATATTCTATAAATGCATGCAGACACATCAAGTGCAAAGTGAGATTAGGACTGCATCTGCTCCTAGAAATGACAAATATCTTTGAAAAAAAAAGGAAAGAACGATATAGGAGGACAGAATTTTGAGGAACTCTGTAAATATTTACTGATAATCCATTGATATTGTTGAGAAACCATTTGAACACAATAGCTCCATTGTTAGCGATTACCAACTTGCACTAGCTACGCTATCGATGACATATCCAATCGCCCATCAGTGGTTGAGTGTACGATACACCAGTTCACTCTGTCCTACTTGAGGCCATATTACGAGTCCATTAAAGATGAAGTGCTTACAAAAGTTTAACATGTTTAACGATTGCTAACTCCGTAGCTTGCACTAGTGTGTGTGACTGGAAAAGCACGTTAGCAGTGTAGCGATGAAGCGTAGAGTCTAAGCTAAAGGTCAGTTAATTGGTTGATTGAAGGCCATCATCGACTGAGGCGATTAAAACATGTGTAACACATACTAACTCACCGTTAATTTTATTAGAGCAGAGTCTGCTTGGTAGAAAGCTACGGGTGTCCAGAGTAAGATACGGCACTGGTTCATCCAGTCATTGACTTTTGGTATGAGTCGTTATTAACCTACTATTAACCACGAGAACAGCAGGCTTAATTTTCCCTCTCAAATGAAGGAAGTGGTCGAAGCGGTCAACTAAAATACTACTAGTGAGTAAACTAATGTCTTTTTTCTTCTCTTTCCAGATACAAAAGTTATGTAGAAACAAAATTCAATTTTCAATCATGGTCCATGAAAAAACTTTGTACTTCATTACAGTATTAGCCTAAGAAAATTATTTCCACTAATTTTATATCGACGTGAAGACCCATATTCAAGCATGAGTATCTAACAGATATTATTCTAAATCGTCAATGAAGATAATTTTTTAAAAGCTTTCCCGTGAAATAAGATTAAACATCATCAACAAATCGAGAAATATGACTAACTGGATATGTTCCAAAATCTCAAGTGTTGGCAGTCCGAACAGTGTAAATCTATATCATATAAGCATCAAATGATATAGAATCCAAAATTCAAAATTTATAAAGAGCAAATAAGCTGTGAAAAGACTGTATGAAAGCAGCTTACCATTCTATTTGGTATCATTTCAATTAAAACAATAATTGGCGGAAGCACTAAAGAACACAATTCTTGAATGTCTTTTATCTGAACTCCACCTGTATTTTCATTGTTTATTTCATCATTACTCACGGAATAAAAGCTGATTGAATAACTCTCTTAATGAATAAAACGGCTAAATCAGTAAACCATTTTTTTGGACCATTGTTGAAACTTAGAAGTTTAACCAGGAATTTATTTGATGCGTTCTGTATAACCATTGGTGGTTCCAACCATTTTGAAGAAGACAGTAAAACTAGATAAGCTAATATTTGCCAAATAAACTTGGCCTCCTCGAACTGCTGTTAGAAAAAAGATGGAAATGGAAGAAAGAGTTTACAGGGAGAAAAATGGGACTAGTTACGATACTTACTACTGAAAGGTAAGAGTAGTTAGACACTGATATGACCAAACTAACCAGGTAAAAGTGATCTAAGGTCGGTAAAAATGTTCGCTTCAGTTGAATTAGAACTCATCAGCAGTAAGCTTGTATGAATTCAGTACATACAAATAAAACTGTTCATAAGACCTAAATCTGGTTAGATAACTTAGATGAGCAAGTATACCATAAATCGACAAGTAGTCTATACATGACGTGAACTGGTTACCCAACGGTAATAAATATAACCACTAAGAAGTCCTATGTGTTGACCAATAATTGAGATCAAAATACACTGGACTACAGTGTAGCGGTAACCTTGTAAATTGAATCAACAGACTTTGCTCAACATTTAGCACATATGACTTGACAGCTAAACTGATTAACATACAGTGACCGATTTGCGTAAACAGCCCAGTTCTACATGATATCAATGGTGATCTGAGCGATTAGTGCTAAAGTTTCCGGCTTCATGAAGTAGTGATATAAGTTCGAATCTCTGAGTTTCCCTAAGATTGTAGATACACTTTTTGATAGGTGCTAACACGCACAAGAACTAGGTTCACGGTTACTTATAAATTAAATCTTAACATTGGGCATCAGTTTACAAATGAATTAAGTCCAGGAGAAATCATTTGTATTAAGATGGTGAAGACCTTATCCATGCATTTTCAAATTACCGTTAAAAGTGTCCAGGGGACTACGCATCTTGTAAAAATCTTCACCAAACAGGACAAAGTCGTGTGCGCACTCTAAGTCTTGGTTGTATTCTGTACTCTGAGCCGGGTTGTTTAATCGTGGAGCTTTCATCATATTTCTAGACCACATCATCAGCACTAACTCCAGTATGAAGTGAGCTATCAATATCTCTCCGTGAGTGGTTTAGTAGTTTGCCTTGACGAAGTGGTCTGTGATTGGTTGTTCCTATGATTGTTGTGTCACTGACTGTACAGATTTTCCTGTTGGCTGTCCCTCTATTTCACCTCTGACATTTCTGTCGTTTATCATCTTCCTCAACCTCGCCTGGTTAACTAGTTTACTAGTTACTAGCCGGTCCTAAGCCCGGGTAAAGAGGGAAGGTTGGGCATAGGGCTAGCAACCCTACCCCGTAAAACAAATCTGACCGCTAAAGAAACTTCAAAGCACAAACAAAATATAAAAAATGAAAACAAACTTATTCCTCGCTGGAATCGGAGAGGCGAAATGACGCCAGTTGGTGAAAGCCTTCGGGAAGCCAATTGGCCGATGTGTCTTCTCTCCTCTCGATGAAAGCGAAAGTAAACGTGGGGACATGGAATGTCCCCACCATGTTTGAACCCAGTAAGGCAGCCCAGATTGCAAAGGAGATGAGAAGGTATCACATCGAAGTGCTTGGGATTTGCGAAAGCAGATGGAATGTGAGTGGACTCTCCAAACTGTCAACTGGAGAATCAATAATCTACTCCGGTCACCCAGACGACAACCACGAGCACACTGAGTTATGGAGTGGCTATCATGATGTCCTCAAGAGCATCGAAGGCTCTCATGCAGTGGGAACCAATCTCCTCCAGGATCATGACAGCAAGATTCAACTCAAAAGGAAGGAAGGTCACAATCATACAATGCTACGCCACGCACCTACAAATAATGCAGAGCAAGAGAAAAAGGAGGAATTCTACAGACAACTTCAATCAACACTGGACAAGACGTCAGTTGGCGATATCAAAATTCTAATGGGCGACATGAATGCCAAACTGGGAGGGGACAACACAGGAAGAGAACTAACCATGGGTCGAGAGGCGCTAGGTGAAATGAATGAGAATGGAGAATTGTTTGCAGAATTCTGTGCATTCAACGATTTGGTGATTGGAGGCAGTGTGTTCAGGCACAAAGATATCCACAAAGCGACATGGATTTCACCAGATGGACACACTAAAAATCAAATCGACTTTATCTCAATCTCAAGAAAATGGAGACGCAGTCTACTTGACACAAGGTCAAGAAGAGGAGCAGATGTAGGTTCAGACCACTCACTGTCTAGTGCAAGGAACCTTCCAAATCAAGTTAAAAGCCTTCAAGGAAGCTGGTGATAGACCACAGTTCAAGTACAACACTCGGAAACTGAAGGATGAAACTACAAAGGAGATCTTCAAAGCAGCCATCAAGACAAAATGGGAGACATCGAGCAACATCCCTGAAGAAACTTTTGTGGAAGAACACTGGAAGTCTTTGAAAGCTATGTGGAAAGAAACCTGCACAACAGTATTAGGAAGGAAGAATGGAAGACAAGGAATGGATCTCGACGGATACCTGGAAGCTGATAGAGGAGAGGAGGATGGTGAAGCAGAAGATAAACCAGTGCAAGGATGCTCAACGACAAGAGGAACTGAGCACAATGTATAAAACACTGGATAAAGAAGTGAAGAAGAGTGCACGCAAAGACAAACGACACTTCTACGAAACACTGGCAAGTGAAGCAGAACAGGCTGCAGGTAAGAGAGACCTGACGACATTGTATCAAATAACCAGGTTGCTATCAGGGAAGAGACCAACACAGATGAAACCAATAAAAGATGAAGAAGGAAATTTAATTACAAAAGAAGAGAAACAGAGGAAACGATGGGCCGACCACTTCAAGAAGCTCTTGAATCGACCACCACCTGCACTTCGTCCAGAAATACCACCTGCAGCCGCTGAATTACAAGTGAACATAAATCCCCCAACGAAAATGGAAGTCCTGAACGCCATAAAGCTACTGAAATGCGGGAAAGCAGCAGGACCAGATGGAATACCGCCAGAAGCACTGAGAACAGATGCAGAGACAACAGCGGACATGCTCACACCACTATTGCAGAAGGTGTGGAAGGAAGAGAAGGTACCTGCCGATTGGAAGAAGGGTTACCTTGTCAAACTGCCGAAGAAGGGAGACCTCAGTGCTTGCAAGAACTGGCGAGGAATCACTCTCCTGTCCACCCCCAAGTAAAATATTAAGCCGCATCATCCTGGAGAGGCTTAAAGATGCACTGGATTCAAAACTGCGACCGGAACAGGCAGGCTTCAGGAAGTACAAATCATGTGCAGACCAAATTGCAACGCTTCGTATCATCATAGAACAGAGCGTAGAATGGCAATCAGCTCTCTACCTCAACTTCATCGACTTTGAGAAGGCCTTTGACAGCGTCGACCGAGAAGTAATTTGGAAACTGCTTCAATACTACGGAGTACCGCAAACCTTTATCCGCCTCATTCAACAACTATATGAAGATGCCACATGCCAAGTAATCCACAATGGGAAGCTCAGTGATGCCTTTGAAGTGAAGACAGGAGTGAAACAAGGTTGCCTACTATCCCCCATGATATTCCTTATTGTGGTGGACTGGATCATGCAGCAAACAGTAGGCAGCGAGAAGAGGGGGATACACTGGACGACGGAAAAGAACCTAGAAGACTTGGATTTCGCCGATGACTTGTGCCTAATGTCACATAAACTTGAAGATCTGCAGGCAAAAACTAACAAGTTGATAGAAGAGGCAGCGAAGACGGGACTTCAGGTGAATATAGAGAAGACAGAAGTGATGAAGATACCGCACCACCACCATCAACAACAAACTCCAATCACCGTCAACGGGAGAAACTTAAAGGAAGTAACCTCCTTCACTTATCTAGGAAGCACTGTTTCAACTACAGGCGGGACGGACGAGGACGTCAAAGTCAGAATCGGAAAAGCAAGACAGGCATTCATTAGCCTGAAACCAGTGTGGAGATCTTCTGCACTCAGCATGCGGAACAAGATACGGATTTTCAACACCAACGTCAAGTCAGTGCTCTTGTATGGCTCAGAGACTTGGCGCGTCACGAAAGGGATTTCCAATAAACTACAGACATTCATCAACAACTGCTTACGCTGGCTCGCTACTGAAGATCAGATGGCCAGAAAATAAGAATAAGCAACAAGGAGCTCTGGGAACGAACCAACCAAGAACCTATCACGCAACAAATATGCAGGAAGAAGTGGAGATGGATTGGCCATGCACTGAGAAGGCCGACTGAGGACATCACGCGTCAGGCCAGTTGCTCGAGTGGAATCCCCATAGGAAGCGACGAGTTGGACGTCCGAGGGTGACATGGAGGAGGTCGTGCGAGGAGGAAATGAGAGCTTCCGGGCTGTCGTGGAACCAGGTTCAAAAGATCTCAGAGAACAGAGGTCACTGGAGGCGTGCAACTGAAGCCCTATGTTCCACTAGGAACTCAAGGGACTAATAATAAATAATAATAAAAATCATCTTCCTCATTGGTTGGTAGATTGGGTCTATGTCCATACATCGGTTGATTGCTGACTGACCTGAATGCCAAACTTCTAGGAATTCTCTGGTCATATTCTTTGGGTTTCCTCTGTCCAAAATTTCTACATTGTCGAAATTGAATTCATGTCCATAATTATCCACATACATTGAAATGAGTGGTGAAATGTCGTGACGTTTAATAGACAATTGGCATTCATGTAGACGAAGGTGAAGAGGACGACCACTTTTTCCAACTTAGTGTTGACTACAGTTATTGCAGTTGATTTCGTAAATGATATTCGGTTTGTCTTCTTTGGCTGTTGTACACCTTGATCTACATATTAGTGTTTGGAGGGAATTCGTAGGTTTATGAGCCACACCAATTCCAAGTGGTCTCCGTAATCTTGTCGTGATTTCTTATATAATCTTTATGTATGGTAGGGTGATGCGTTTATTGATATCTGTCAATGGCTTTGCAGTTGATGTCGTACGGGATAGGCATCTTCTGATAAAGTTTCGTAGGTAGCCGTTCTTCTCTAAGTTTACTTGGAAGTTTACTGAGACAAGGAGAGTCCGTGAAGTCAAATGAGGAGATTAATGACACTTGATTTGGCTGCCCAACCACAGGCTCTATCATACTCACATGGGAGTTTATATTTATCTGTTAGCATATTCATATGTCTACCGAGTGCTCTTCCACGTGAGTGAATCACATCGTTACCCACTATAGTCTAGCTAAATAATCACCCTTTCACTCCAGTTCCCTTGATAAAACTAAATAGCTGTCTACTGTTACGTATCACTGCTGACTACCCGATCCCTCCAGGCTCCGCTACCCAGCACTGATCGAAGTCGTTACGTCGACTTCTTCTCAATATACAGCCAAGATGCTTCCGCACATCAAAACTGGAAGGTCACAAGAATGGATTCTCTTGCATACACTAACTCAGAAGAAGTTGGCAACAACAACTCAGGTCTTCCAGGCTTTTTCTGAGAAGTAATCACAAAATCTAACAATGTTTCTAAACGAATTGCAGATGGCACCAGGCCTCAACCGGATGAGTGAGTGACGGTGTACCACTACAATAACTTTCCAACTAATTCCACAGTGAGTGCTGCCTTAGTATTCTCAGCACCGAGATTACCTCAAAATGTCCACATCACTGCGGTTCCCCCACGACAACACGGGCGCATACAAACGCGTGATCGCCTTCCCAATATATGCTGCAGAAAAAGCGACCATCGTCCGTCAACCACCTACAATGATAAACAACAATAAAATAGTCTACATACGTCACACGATAAGTTGACGTCCATGAAAGCCAGTTCAGACGTCTCCCTTACTCTGCATACCGGAAGTTGATGCTCGTCAGAAATAGATAGTTGTTTAATCACAGTTGTATTAGGCGATTTCTGCCGTCTCGTCTTTTGCTTGCGATTCCGAAAATTACACATCTGTACCTCTCTGCCTGACTCAGCCGGCTTACACACCTGTGCATTGAAACCAACGGCCAACACAACCACGTCTGGACGTTTGCATTCCAGTGGGAGGCTAGACAGTTTTTGGTACAACTCATCTCGCACTTCATCCAAACTGGAGTCATTAGATGCGTGAGGAGAGATTACAATGAAGTAACAGTGCATTTTACTACTCTTTTCAGGCCTGATCACTGCATCGATGAATTGAACACCAAACAAGTGACTGCCAACTAAGATCCAGTCAAACAGTGCACTTTCTACCTTACCACATATTGCTAATTCCACTCGGAGGACCAGACATCGAATCTACATGATCGCGATGAGTTAATTATGCAGATTCACCATAGCAACTGAGTGAAGTTATTGTACTACTGACTGTGTGTCTTGTGTGCGCATCTCACAAACACATCAGACATACACACACAGTTCGAAATGAAAGAGTTTTGAGTAGAGAAGCTTACTGGCCGACTTCCCTGAAACTAAGGACATTGAAAGCTCCAATGTGTTGTTTGTTGCTTGGTTTCAGGAGACAAGAGATTCTATTTCGTCAACTCAAATCACTGTCGAGAGATGCAAAGTTGGAGGGAATTCAAGACGACATAGTAATATTGACCTGGAGACGTGACAAAACGATGAGAGGTAAGGATGTGGAAGATTGATAATGATCTGAGGGAACTTGAGTAGTGACAGTAGTGAGAATGGTGGACACCTCCTCACTACCCACATCATAGAAATTAACTCATTATTGAGGTACCACATTTTAGCACTCTCCTTTCCTGTAGGAAATACAGCATCAGGATGGTACTGCTGTTCGTCAACCGGAAACACTTTACTACTGTCATCAACAATCGAGTCAGCAGTACAACTTCACTCTCGGTCCTCCATCATAACATGCTAATTTACACTCCAATGATAACTGCTTTTTATCTTACCACCATTTAACAGTGCTTTTTTGTGTGGTAGAACTTCTAGGAAGAAGTGCTTTCATGAGAAAATCTCGTCGACAGAATGTGATATGCAGGTCTGACCACCAAGTCGAGGTAGCGTTTATGAGCATGAAGTCTACCGTTTGCCTGAACCATTTCGGTAAGCTGAGACTTTCCAATTAGGGTGCGGACTGTAACTGATGTAGTTCAGAATCGCCCTCAGTGGCACAGATACTTTCACATATTATCTTAATCTGTTCTTATTTCGCATTCCTCGTACCTCGTGACTGCCCATTAAATATTTTTAATTCACAGTTTTTCATCTCACTCCTTTCTATTTGATTTGGTGGCAACTTGAACAGTACACAGAATTGATAGGTTATATATTGATTAGGACTGACTCACAGTACTTGATTTTCAATATTGGATGACCATCAGTAAGAAATCTTTGTTGAATTCTCTCAATAAATGGCGAATACAACCTTAGGAAAAACGGATATCAACGAAGAACCTCACACAAAAACCCATCCCTTTAAGTTACGGGGATACACACCAGTATGCAAAACGAGAATGTTAAGGTAGACATAAATGTATGAGAGGTGAGATAATTTGAAAAATGAACGCCAGTAAAAATGTTCAAACTTTCAAAGACTTCAATGAGTGGATAAATCTGCATCATTAAGATCGATTTTCAGCCATGTTATTAAGTCCTCAACCACTGCTTCTTATCACATCTGGAACCCCAGCCAAACAGCCTACACCTCCCTATACGGCTTTAACCGATAATCAAAAACTTAGTGGACTGGTGCCATATTTTGGTTTGACCACCCTAGGCTCACTTTCAAGCAAAATTTATCTCGATAAATATTACGCGTCAAGGTAAAAGGATGGATTTCTATGCACAACAGATACTCAAGTTGCCTTAGATGTTGAGATTTGACAATCAAGGGCTTCTTCCAGTGGATCTATTCATGACTCTTTTCCAAAATGGTTGGTCATAATTGAGTTCTATTCGTTATATATATATATATATATATATATATATATATATATATATATATATATATATATATATATATATATATATATGAGTCCATGGACAGAATTTTATCGATGAATTCGAAAGAATGATACACATCATTTACGCTACATTAAGCGTTTAAACTGCTGCTAATACTGTTTTATTGGCCATTTTTAACTGGGCTCTGTAGCTCAACAAAAACAGAATAATTTCCTTAATAATTCACAGCAAGTAGCAAAGTAGAAATAGTGCATGCAGGAGATATTAAACATTGAATACATTCTTAAACCATATTTTAACGTTACCTCATCGTGACTGATGCATTGAGGTGTATACGAACATTGTTCTGATCGAATCAAAACATCATAAATCAAGTGAACAGTTAAATCTACCAAACGACTCTGTAATTCCTCATGTTCTCGTACTAAAGACATTTGATCATGATCATTGAACACCAAAGAAGACGACTCCACTGCATAGTTAAGATATCAACAACATGACTGCAATGTATAAAATAACACAATGATAGTAGCAATCTGATAATAATGTAATTATTACGTTAAAAATATCATTTGGTCTTGGTGGATTGATATTTAAGTATCACCATGATAAAAGACCTCATCGTAGATACCCACAGCTAAGGGTCACTAAACTAGGACGAAATAGCTGTTCAAACCTCTTGGGTTTTCAGTGGTTCTCTAGCTAATGATGATCGTTCATGAAAACTACTTTGTCAATGAAAATAATCGACTAGAGGATTACTAGAACGTGGAAAACACTAGATAATAGTTCTGGCCTAGTTGGATACTTCTCAGTAGTTTGCATCTCTGACCTCATCAGCATCGATCCCAACACCTCATAGCTAGTTCGTTACTACTCAGTTACTGGGTTGGGATACAGAAGTTGATGTTTTTGACGGCTGGAGTAGGTATCTTTTCACATTCTCGACTGACTTCCTCACCTGATGTCTATCCGTGAGGAAAAAACTGTCTTCAACTTCCCCTTACTTAGAGAACTGGTGGAAACTGGATAGTGCTGAATTTATTTCTTTATCATGCTTTATTACTCACAAATACAATGTATCCTTAACATTTTTCTCAAGATGGAACTCAGAATATATGGCAAGTTAACGTTCAACCGGTGAAAGCTGTTAACTACTGCTAGTTGCATAAACTAAGGATAACTATCACTCCACCAATACGTATACGGATGAAATTAACTGCCAGTAAGATATTCACGAGATTCTATCCTTTTCCTATCAGTAGTTTAATTACTGACATGCAGGGTTGTGAAAAACGATTCATTGGTAAACTGAAGTTAAATCCTTCTTTCTCTAACAGATAGGAAGTGAAAATTCTAATACCTAATTCGCAGAAACTGGATATTATACTGAGACATTGTATGCATTTATTAGTTCAGTTTACTAACTATATAGGATAAATAAATGAAAAAACCATGTTTTTCAGTCATTTCAGTTAGTCATAACAACTTCAAACTATTCAAACGAATTAATAATGTCTTCTAAATTCCACTGGAATTTATATGATTACTTAATTCAGTCATTTTCTAACAGAAAAAGAAGGATACCTTCTGGTCTTAGAATTTATACTAAATCCTATAGGTTCATTCGCTGCCGACTATACAAAGGAATAAAGGTGCGATAGCATTCATCAATTTTCTCTAGTTCCCATTCTAAACTACATTCAAACACTTTCCTAAACATCCAAACATTACTTCAGAGTGTTAAGTAGTCAGAATACATTTCACTTATATTCGGTACAGAACATCTAAGATAAACATTTTCATGAGGTCTTAAGGTGCAAAGATCAAATTCGAAGTTAGCTTATTACATCAAATGCGCTAAACTTCCAATCATTTGAGTTTATTCATTGTTCGGTTGTCCAGTGGATAGTGTTCCATTTTCAGTAAGTGTTTCTGGCTATCTTAATATATAGTGCTTACAACTTCATGTCATGAATTGTTCATCGAATTATACTTAACGTGGTCTCAGTCTTAATCTCCAATATCAGTTTCTCAACGAAGGAATGGTGTATCTTGAAAACAGTCAACAGACACAATATCCTGTGCACTCATCACCAACAAGTATCTGCAAACATGAAGAGTTCATTACTCCTCAAACCTATGTCATTCAGTGCTTGTAGGGACGTTAACCGTAACGCTACCTCCTTTTGGATTTGTTGCATACTAGCTTTTCGTCTCATCCAAGCAAGTACAAAAGCAGATCCCTGAGTGATCACTATCCAGTGACAATTTAGCACACTTTACCCATTTTTTCACAGGATTAAGAGATTAGCCACATAAACAACAGAGACTCTGAATTGAGCAGCGCCGTTTCTCATGCAGTTAAAGATACTCCTGGAAGATGAACACGAACAGAATTTCCATTAGCATGTTCTAATTATTCTCGATAAACTAATTACCCTTCTCTTTGATGCCAAAAGTAGGTAAAAAACAATAGGACTTTCCCCAGAGGTTATTTTACGACAGAAGTATCTGGAGTCATGAGATAAATGATAGTGCCTTAAACACATGAACCTGTATCAATTTATACACTATTTTTCTATGGTTCGATTTACCTTCAAATCTACTACTTGGAATCACTTCACTAAAAACCACTACTTTAGTGATAAAGATACCAAATAGTGACATGTTTTTATCCCGGACAGCCAGCAGATTTCACACTCGTCTTTATATACTGTATGGTTTTTACTGAAGACAACCAGTCTAGAAAATAGATTGATTCAATTAAACATTCCTTTGCAATCCCACACTTTGACTTTAAAAAATTAAATGCTGATAAGTAACAGATTTAAATTATTCTATAAAAGAATTTTCAATATACTGGATTCAAAATTACCTTAGCAAAAACTTAAAATATTTTGTTCCCTTTATACTTTTCACCATGTCAATTGAATTATTCCAACAATTTAAACTCATTGGTAAGTTGTTTGCATGAAATATTCGAATTCTGAATCCAAGTAAGGTAGTATAACATTCCAAAATAGTATTTATACATTCAGAGTGATTTTCACCTGATTGACTAACAGTAGTAATATTGGTCTCTTCAAGCCTATTTATTTCATCAAATAAATAAGGCATAATATATTCCATCAAATAATCATTTAAAATTATATTATCATCACTTAAAGAAGATAATTTTGAAGTAGTATGATTATGAATTCGACAAATTCCAAGTAAAAATTTCATTTCTTTAGAAATGACTCCTCACTTTTTGTTAGTTTAAACAAAACATCTTTTAACCAAACAAATCTTGATTTTTAACTAAATGAACCAAAGAAGTATAAATTACATTTAAAGTTAAATAATTACAAACTTTGTCATTCTTATCAGAAAGATTAGAAATGAAAGGAAAAATAAAAAAATATAACTCAAACAACTGATAAAAAAACCACTGAACAAAATCTTCATTTAAAAAATATACAGAAGAAAGAGACAATACATGATTATGCATAAAGAATAATAAAAGATGATAAGCAACTAATGTACCATCGATAACATTCTTATTTACAGGTGAATTTTTACACTGAGATGCAAAAGAACGTAGTAAAACAAATAAGTATGGGAATTCTTTGTTGTAGGTGGGTAAACAATCTAGTATACCTTGTGTATGATACAATATACTTCGATCCAATCGGTGAAGTTGATGAAATACATTCATATAGTAATAAGAAATATACTTGAAATGAATATCAGACTTCCAGTTATCGACACAACATGATAACTCACAAGTTTGAAGTTCAGTGAACAGTAGATTATTATTAATATCATTATTTAAAAAGATGTTGATTACATCGTGACACTGTCTATCTGTGCATGCGAATTGAGGATGTAAATCAACCACAGATGTGATGATGTCAAGGGAAGCTAGTTTTAAGGGGATATGACTTGAAATATTCGAATAACACCACTGCGAAATTAACTTCATGAAATCTGAGAGTAACCTATGGTAACCAGAGTTAGCAATGGGCTTCTTCTTCCAATATTTCATGCAACCAAACATAATAGTTACAGCTTCAGACACAATTTGTATGGTAGTTAGATACGAATAATCCCTGGAAGATAGAGAGATGAGAAAAACGAAGTAAAATGTTTGATGAATGATTGGATACAGATGGGAAGCATTATTGCTTTTAAAAATTCTGCGTCTAACACTATAAAACTTCAGTAAGGTCAGTTGAAATTCTGAAAATAAACGTTACACTCACAATCTCATCTTATGTAGATAACGTCTCTATGGGCAAATTACTACAACTAAATCAAGATCCCGTGAATATGCATGCACTTTCAATCGTGAATTTCAGTGGTTGATTGCAGAATATATCTACTCAAATGTGTCGGAGCAGGAGATCGTGGTGTTATCAGATGAATGACTTATGAGTTTTCAATATTTCTGCCCGCTTCTCAAATCTTCATGGCATTGTGGCAGTTTTTCCAACAGCAAGACAGCAGATATTGTATTCTGGATGTATTCGAGCTACCGATAAGAAACCTTCACCCAACTTTTTGATATTACTAAAGCTCATTATCAAAGTATGTTGCAGAAAATAATTATTTATTTTAGGCTCTGTGGGAAATTGACTTTTTCGATAGGATGTTTACAACGCGGATTGACATCGCCTAGAGAAACAATGACCACCTAGAATCACTGAACAGCAAATAAATACTGATAAAAAATAAAGGTCAACTAAAATACCTTCTTAAAATTGTCTTCAAAACTTTAGGATTAAGAACAAAGTATCAAAAGTTCTATTTTACTTAGTAACTAAATCGGATTCACTAAACAACACGTATCGATCAACACTAGGAAACAAACGTATACTTGGTTACTTCCTGTCAACTGGCGTGTATCAAAGTATCTGACCAAATAGTGACCGAAGGTCAAAAACATTGTAGTCCTGAGTTCCAGTAGAGGATTGAGACAGTATATATTCAAAAAAAGAGCGAAGACTACGCGTGAAATATTTCTGGTAAGTTTTCAGTTGAAACTCTACATTTTAGACTCATAGCTACTACCTTGACGTGGTGGTCAGACCTGCATATCACATTCTGTCGACGAGATTTTCTCATGAAAGCGCTTCTTCCCTAGAAGTTCTACCACACAAAAAAGCACTGTTAAATGGTGGTAAGATAAAAAGCAGTTATCATTGGAGTGTAAATTAGCATGTTATGATGGAGGACCGAGAGTGAAGTTGTACTGCTGACTCGATTGTTGATGACAGTAGTAAAGTGTTTCCGGTTGACGAACAGCAGTACCATCCTGATGCTGTATTTCCTACAGGAAAGGAGAGTGCTAAAATGTGGTACCTCAATAATGAGTTAATTTCTATGATGTGGGTAGTGAGGAGGTGTCCACCATTCTCACTACTGTCACTACTCAAGTTCCCTCAGATCATTATCAATCTTCCACATCCTTACCTCTCATCGTTTTGTCACGTCTCCAGGTCAATATTACTATGTCGTCTTGAATTCCCTCCAACTTTGCATCTCTCGACAGTGATTTGAGTTGACGAAATAGAATCTCTTGTCTCCTGAAACCAAGCAACAAACAACACATTGGAGCTTTCAATGTCCTTAGTTTCAGGGAAGTCGGCCAGTAAGCTTCTCTACTCAAAACCCTTTCATTTCGAACTGTGTGTGTATGTCTGATGTGTTTGTGAGATGCGCACACAAGACACACAGTCAGTAGTACAATAACTTCACTCAGTTGCTATGGTGAATCTGCATAATTAACTCATCGCGATCATGTAGATTCGATGTCTGGTCCTCCGAGTGGAATTAGCAATATGTGGTAAGGTAGAAAGTGCACTGTTTGACTGGATCTTAGTTGGCAGTCACTTGTTTGGTGTTCAATTCATCGATGCAGTGATCAGGCCTGAAAAGAGTAGTAAAATGCACTGTTACTTCATTGTAATCTCTCCTCACGCATCTAATGACTCCAGTTTGGATGAAGTGCAAGATGAGTTGTACCGAAAACTGTCTAGCCTCCCACTGGAATGCAAACGTCCAGACGTGGTTGTGTTGGCCGTTGGTTTCAATGCACAGGTGTGTAAGCCGGCTGAGTCAGGCAGAGAGGTACAGATGTGTAATTTTCGGAATCGCAAGCAAAAGACGAGACGGCAGAAATCGCCTAATACAACTGTGATTAAACAACTATCTATTTCTGATGAGCATCAACTTCCGGTATGCAGACTGAAGGAGAAGTTGTCTGACGTGACGTCCAACGACCTGAAGTCATTTGTGGATATAGACAAACCTTGTTGCTATTAGCTGTCGTTAAAAAGGGTTGATGGAGGATTTTCTCTGCTTCTGAAGCACTATTTGAATTGCGACAACGCGTATATCAGGGTCTATACCGAAGTAGGAAAACTACGAAGGCAAGACCACTGCGAGTGCTGACTGTCGATGAGAATACTAGTACTGTCTTCAGTGAGAAGTATTATTAGTACAAAACGACACCACACATGCAGAAGAAGTCTGGTGTTATCTGCATTCTGCTGTAAAAGTAGGGTTAAACACCGTAATTGGCTACGAAAAAGTGGTCAGAAAACATGAGTGGGCGTCAACAGCTTCTTCGGAGTAGACGTATGAACGTCAACGAATTCGCGCAGGTTGCGAGTGAATAATTGAGTTTTTTCAATAGTGCATTCACTTGGATGGTCGCAGTATTTAAGTTTAACTGAGGATTGGCATAGTGTGGTCGTGAACAGATCGGTTTACACCTATCGAACTACAGAACTTTTAATACCTACCGTATAACCAATCCAACCACATGAAATACACGGTATAGTGAGCAGCTGTCTTTTAACAAAAGAGTGTGGACTCATGATCACTGGTGGTACACAACATCCATTCAAAATCATGCAACAAACAGGTTAAAGTAGACAAATGAGTATTGTCGATATCAAAGGGTGCCACACTACAGAAAACACTGTGGCTGTTTGCATACCAAAAGTCATCGTCGTAATAGTGTTGTACACTTACCTAGTTTTGGTCGACGTTTCATAAACTGAAACCATCACTTGTTGCAGTTTGACTAGAATATCAATATTGAAAGTTGTTAAAACATCATCGAATTGAGTAGTAAAATCTTCATCTATGTGTATCATGAATTGAATTACATCAATATATCTACACATAATAGTCAGTATATGTGGATATAGACAGGGTTGAGGAATTTCATTCGATAAATGCTTGACTAAATGCGAGCGCAACAAATCGATGTGAACACGCTGTACATTACCGGGATGTAATACAAATTGATGCGGGATAGATGTAGACTTAGAGCACACTGGATTATTGTGTTCAAGAGGCCATTTTTCATTTTCGCTGGTGTAAAGGGAGAAAAAGACACCAGTAGCTAGGATCATGTGTAAAAAGGATTTCTTTGGAAATTTAAAAAACAGAACGAATTGCAGAATAACTATATTAATATATGCGTTATCCATACTGTTCAGAAAACTTCAAGCTGGTGAAAATATCAGAGAGGTTTTTGTCGAACCCTCTTCAAGAGTATTCAATAAAGACAACTGCTACATACAGCTGGCTAAATTAATACATTTGTTTCTTCGATTTTGAGTCATCACTTGACCTTCAACAAGCGATTTTGACTGCTGCTGCATTAGAACGACGGTCATATAATCCATTGATTTTTGTCATATCTCAGCAGTTTTCATTAACCCATTCCAGATGGCATACCATAATTGCTCAGAGATACACGCATATTAGCTGATATTTAATACACCAGAAGTACTAAGGCGATAAATCGTTAGTTTAAGCTATGCTTCGAATTATTTTCAGAATTCTACGCATATTCCGTCACTCCCTTCTCCTCAACTACATTGGAATGCTATTAATTCTGAATTAAAGGAAACGATTTCGTAATCTCAGGTAGGAAATTTTAGTTTCTTAAATTCAGGCTAGGGAATTCGCATTTCAATTTATCAACACTTAATTAAATTAAGCAACAAATGTGATAAACGCAGGGTTTACTGAATTCATAAATTTCAGTAGTACTCGTCAGCTAGATACTCTACATCTATGATTATATATATCGTTAAATAGTGAGAAAGAACATACATACATATTTTAACGTTAACTGAAACATCGACAACAACACATAAAATAAACAGTTTTTAAAGTCCAACGGTTATGAAAAGAGTAGAAGTGAATGGTTTGGGAATAGGTTACACGATTAACTGAGTTTGGATAATCGTGCAGTCTAGTCTAAAGGTCATGTGGTTCTCAGGTAGGAAAATCATAATTTAAATCTCCCCATTATCATCATCAGAAAACAGATTTTGAAGCGAATATGTATTTTCGGTAAACTTTCATCAGGCTTTACAATTACATTTACAAACTTCTCAGTATAGTCATTTGGTACCAACATAGTGAAATGAATTCGGGTATATGAACTAGAGGATAACAATAAAGATGATAATAACGAAAAAAATTCTCGGAAAGTTAT